ACAAAAGGCGTAAATAAGTCTTTTTCAAGAAAAGACATACACATGGACAGCAGATATATGTAAAAATGTTCAATGTAAATTATGATCAGAGAAAGGCAAGCCAAAAACCAGTATGAGGTAGCAACTCACTCTTAGAATGACTCTTACTAAAAAGAAAAATAATAAAGTGTTGGCAAAGACGTGAAGAAAAGGGAATGCTTGCACACCGTTGGTTTGAATGAAAATGAAGACAGCCATTATGAAAAATGAAATACAGATTTCTCAAAAAAAATCAAACTACCATGTAACACAGCAATTGCACCACTGGATATGTATCTGAAACAAACAATGTCGAAATGAAGAAACGTTTGGACTCTTTGTTGTTTGCAGCACTCTTTCCAATAGACAAAATATAGAATCAACTGTTTAACTTCTAATGAGGAAATAAAGACAATGGGATAGATACACACAATGGAGTACTATTCATTATTTTTAAAAGAATTTTTTTTTTTTTTTTGGATTGAGTCTCGCTCTGTCAGCCAGGCTGGAGAGCAGTGGCACAATCTTGGCTCACTGCAACCTCCACATTTCTGGTTTAAGGGATTCTTGTGCCTCAGCCTCTGGAGTAGCTGGGATTACAAGTGTGCACCGCCATGCCCAGCTGATTTTTTGTATTTTTAGTAGAGATGGGTTTTTGTCATGTTTCCCAGGCTGGTCTCAACTCTGTGCTCAACTGATGCACCTGCCTCAGTCTCCTAGAGAGCTGGAATTACAAGTGTGAGCCATCATGTCTGGCCTAGGAAAAAATCTATTATTTTCAACCACATGGATTAAGCTGGAGGACATTATATCAGTTGAGGTAAGTCATGCACAGAAAGATTAATATCTCATTATTTCACTTACACATGGATTCCAAAAAAGTTAATCTCAGTGATATATAAAGTAAAATGGTGACCATCAGAGGCCAATATATTTAGGATTAAAGGGTTGAAAAGATGTTTGTCAAAACATATATATTCATAGTTGAATAGAAGAAATAAGTTTAAAAGATTTGGCTGGGCACGGTGGCTCAAGCCTGTAATCCCAGCACTTTGGGAGGCCGAGGCGGGTGGATCACGAGGTCAAGAGATCAAGACCATCCTGGTCAACATGGTGAAACCCTGTCTCTACTAAAAATACAAAAATTAGCTGGGCATGGTGGCGCGTGCCTGTAATCCCAGCTACTCAGGAGGCTGAGGCAGGAGAATTGCCTGAACCCAGGAGGCGGAGGTTGCGGTGAGCTGAGATCGCGCCATTGCACTCAGCTGGGGCAACAAGCAAAATTCCATCTCAAAAAAAAAGAGAAAAGAAAAAGAAAAACCTTTTGCTTAGACACCCAGCCTTTTCCTTACATCCTCTGGGGTCTAGACGAAGGCTCTCAAGCCTCTAGTCTCTGGCTTTGTGCACCTGCTAGCTTAACACTGTGTGGAAGCCGTCAAGGCTTGGAGCCATGTGAAGCAGTGACCTAAGCTGTACCTGTGCACCTTTCAGACCTGGCTGGAGCTGGCGCTGCACGGATGCAGGCAGCAGTGTCCAGAAGATGCACAAAGCAGTGGCGCATGGAGATGGCCAAGGACATCAGTCTTCTCTCCTAGGCCCCAAGGCCTGTGACTGTAAAGGCTTCTGCAAAGGTCTCTGAAATGCTTTCAGGGCCTTTTTCTCATTGTCTTGGCGATTTGGACTGAATTCCTTTTTATGCAAATCCCCTAAGCCTTCTTGCATTTTCTCCCTGAAAATCTGCTTTTCTTTCTGACTTCTTTACCAGGCTCCAAATTTTCCTAACTTTTGAGCTCCACTTATCATGTAAATAGAAGTTCCAACTTGAGGTTATTTCTTAGGTCACAAATAAGAACACAAGCTCGGCCGGGCACGGTGGCTCACACCTTTAATCCCAGTGCTTTGGGAGGCCGAGGCAGGTGGATCATGAGGTCAAGAGATCAAGACCATCCTGGTCAACATGGTGAAACCCCGTCTCTACTAAAAATACAAAAAATTAGCTGGGCATAATGGCGCATGCATGTAATCCCAGCTACTTAAGAGGTTGAGGCAGGAGAATTGCCTGAACCCGGGAGGCGGAGGTTGGGGTGAGCCGAGATCGCGCCATTGCACTCCAGCCTGGGTAACAAGAGCTAAACTCCGTCTCAAAAAAAAAAAAAAAAGAACACAAGCTGTTTGATGCAGACAGGACACCTCTTGAGCTATGCTACCTGGATGTTCCATATATCAGATACATCCTAAATCATCATAAGTTCATAGTTTGACCGATCTTCAAGGCAGGGTCACTGTGCAGCCACATTCTTTGCTAAGGCCAATCAAATGTAACCTTGGTTCCTGTTCAATGGAAATTCCTCATTTTCATCTGAGACCTTTTTTTTTTGAGACTCAGTTTCGCTCTCGTTACCCAGACTGGAGTGCAATGGCGCGATCTCGGCTCACCGCAACCTCGGCCTCCTGGGTTCAGGAAATTCTCCTGCCTCAGCCTCCTGAGTAGCTGGGATTACGGGCACACACCACCATGCCCAGCTAATTTTTTGTATTTTTAGTAGAGACGGGGGTTCACCATGTTGACCAGGATGGTCTTGATCTCTTGACCTCGTGATCCACCCACCTCGGCCTCTCAAAGTGCTGGGATTACAGGCTTGAGCCACTGAATTTTTTGTATTTTTAGTAGATGTCCGACCTACCCTCTGCGGGAGGACTGAGCTCGTTCAGAAAAAACCGGACCGCAGGTTAGAAGAAAGTCTTAAATTCAGGCTTTATTGAGAGGAAAGAGCCTCCGGGCGGACCAGCTGGGAAGAAGAGGAAAATGGCCGCGCCGCTCAGAGGAGCAGGGTTCTTTTATAGGGGGCTGAAGGGCTGAGGGAGTGGGGAAGCTGAGAGAGCCGAGGTGGCGGGCAATGGTTGGTCAGTTTGAACCGCTGGGCAGGAAGCTGGGCGGCAGGAAGCTGGGAGGCAGGAAGTTGGGGAGAGCTGATGAGGCAGAAGCTGGGCGGCGGGAAGCTGGGAGGCAGGAAGTTGGGGAGAGCTGATGAGGCAGAAGCTGGGCGGCGGGAAGCTGGGAGGCAGGAAGTTGGGGAGAGCTGATGAGGCAGAAGCTGGGCGGCGGGAAGCTGGGAGGCAGGAAGTTGGGGAGAGCTGATGAGGCAGAAGCTGGGCGGCGGGAAGCTGGGAGGCAGGAAGTTGGGGAGAGCTGATGAGGCAGAAGCTGGGCGCGGGAAGCTGGGAGGCAGGAAGTTGGGGAGTGCTGATGAGACAGAAGCTGGGCGGGAGGTGGCTGCGGCCAAACATTCCCGACTCCTTAAAAGAAAAGAAGAAAAGAGGGATCAGGGGCGTCGGTTGTCTCTCTGGCTACTTCCTGCTGACAAGGGTCGACGGGGGGTTCTGAAGAGGTCTCTTTTCCTAAGGAGCCTGGGTGTTCGGGGAGAGGTCTGTTTCCAGCACTCGTTCAGGGTAGGGTTGGAGCAGCATCTGGTGGATGGTGACTCGAGTCAGTTCTTGAAAGCGCCGCTGTAGGAACTGCAGAAAGCAAGGAGCAATAAGTAAGATTAGGCAAACGGCTACTAGGGGCCCAAGCAATGGGGACAAGAGGGTATACATAGAGGAAGACCACCACACTGTGGCTTCAGCCGAGAACTTCTGATTCTGCAAGTTAGTTTTGAGTTTCTGGAGGCTCTCGATTCGGGTTTCTACTAGGCCGGATTCATTGATGTAGTCACAGCACTCTTCCTGTAGGAAGATGCAGGTTCCTCCTCGCTCTGCGGTGAGCAGGTCCAGGGCTCTTCGGTTCTGTAAGGCAACTTGGGCAACTGAGGTAATCTGTCGTTGGAGCAATGCTAATGACTCAGCAGAGTCATCAACAGCAGTTTGGAATTGTGAGGTCAGTCGGGCTATAGCTTGGTGGGAGTGGGTTAGGGCTCCTCCTCCCAGCCCAGCTGCAAGTGCTGAGGTTACTAGGGAGATGCCTACAGCTAGGGGCAGAAAAGCAGTTCGCTTGGTGCGGTGGAGCGGTGCTTGTAGCATTTGGAATTCGGCTGAGGAATATATAGTGAGTCGGGGGACTAAGGTCACTGGGAGGCATAAGAGAGCTGGGGATTGGCCGGCGTGGAGAGTTTTTGTGAGGGTTCTGTTACACCATAAGAAAGGTCCCTTTGGAGCCGTCAGATTAGTGGTTACCAGTATGGTTTTGTTACAGTTGGGGTAGGTCCGGCCTAGGGAGTAGCATACTGGTAACTGTATAAAACCAGGTGGAGTGTAGAGATCTACTTCCCTGATGGGGGAGAAGGGAGAAGTTGAGGCTGAAAGGTTGAGAGGGATGGGGTAGGGGACCGCGATGAAGGGAGTCTGTCCTAAGGAGGCACACATGAGGCATGAGGTTAGGTCAGTTAATCCTGAGAGGTTAGCTAACTTGATTCCTTCTTTGAGGAAGGTTAGCCAGGAAAACGGAGATGAGTGTGGTTGCAATTGGTCAATTAGATTTTTCTTGTAGGTTAATAGCGGAATGGACTTGGTGGACCATACGTACGTATGGCCGCCAGATGTACAGGTGGGAGGAGGGATATGCGGTGTCTCGGAAATCATATAAGGCAGCTTTCTGGGGGCTTTTCCACCGGTCAGGTATGAGAAGAGAATACCGTGTATAACCGGTTCTGACATTTCCTTCTCCATCTAGGTCTGGAACAATTTTGAGCTGGGCAGGAATGCCTGGGTGTCGCTGTATGTCAAGGGCTGCATGTAGGGAACAATAGCCCCAGGTGCAGCCCATGCGGGAGCACCAGGGAGTATCACCGCATTTTCCTGATGGTTGGTCATAGTTGAAGCATATGACAGGTAGAATCCCAATTCCTTCATGGACATTGTAGAATTTAGTAAAGTTCAGGTATATGGCGCTTTGGCATCTGGCTGCGGGGCAGTCGGAAGTTGCAAGAAGATGGTTGTGGCTGTATGGGGGGGTATTACAGATAAAGGTGGTTTTGGTATAGTTTTCAGTTAGGAAAACTCTCCATCTGTAGGGGGTGTGGCTGCTGGGCCCTGGTAAGTTTGACAGATAAAGGGCCAGTAGGAACAGCTTTCCAGCATGAGGAGGGTCCATGAGGGGCCTTTTTTACCCGAGACAGGTGAACCCAAGATGGGACTTCAGCGACTTTTATGGCCGATGGAGTAGTGAGGATGACGGTATATGGTCCCTCCCACTTGGGGGCGAGGGGCTTTGGGGAGAGGGATTTAATAAGAAATAAGTCTCCGGGGGAGACTTTCTGTGTATTTTCAGATGGCTGGGTGGGTTGGGGAAGAGAAGCGTTGGCGTGCTCTCGGAGAAGGCTGCGAAGGAGAGTAAAGTAGGGGAGGTAGCTGTCTAGAGGAGTGGTTTCTGGCGGTGGGGGAGTTGAAAGTAGGAAGGGGCGACCATACAGCAGCTCAAACGGGCTAAGCTGTGATGGGCCTCGGGGGCTTGCTCTTAACCTGGTGAGGGTGATAGGAAGCAAGGTTACCCAGGGTTGGCGGAGCTCAAGCATGAGCTTGGTCAGATGCTCCTTTATTAGGCCATTGGCCCGTTCCACCTTACCAGAGGACTGGGGATGGTAGGCGGCGTGTAGCTTCCACTGAATTCCTAGAGAGGTAGAAACGGCATTAGTGACTTTGGAGATAAAGGCTGGGCTGTTGTCTGACTGTATGGTGGCCAGGAGTCCAAAGCGTGGGACGATGTCTTGAATGAGATGAGTGGCTACTGTCCCGGCAGACTCAGAGGCTGTGGGGTAAGCTTCAATCCAGCCTGAAAAAGTGTCAACAATGGTTAGCAGATATCGGTACTGTTTGTGCTTTGGCATATGAGTAAAATCGATCTGCCAGTCTTGGCCAGGTAGGAGACCGCGTAGCTGATGAAGCTGGCGCCGAGGATGACAGGAACCCTGGGAATTAGTTTTCACGCAGACAGTACAGGAGGACTGGACTTCCTGTATGGTACTGAGGAGGTGGTGGGGGTGGAAAAGTGGGTTGAGGAACTGGTATAGGGCTTTAGGTCCAATGTGGAGTGAATTGTGGATGTCTTGGATTATTTGGTACCTTTGCTTTTCGGGGAGGATGAGGAGGTTATACTTGAAGGCCCAGTCGTCCTTGAACCGTACCCCGGGGGTAGACTGGAGGATCTGAAGTTCTGAGGCGGAGTATTGGGGGCTATATGACTTGGACAAGAAACAGAGAGTGGAAGTGGGTGGCGGATGGTTTCTTGCCGTATCTTTAGCCACCCTGTCTGCAAAGGCATTCCCGGCGGCTACGGGTGAGTTCAGGGATTGATGCCCTTTACAGTGGATGATGGCTACCTTGCTAGGGAGTTGAACGGCCTGAATAAGGGCAGCAATGAGTTTTCCATTGAGGACGGGCATGCCCTTAGTGGTGAGGAAGCCTCGTTCTTTCCAGATCATGCAGTGTGAGTGAGCTATGAGGAAGGCATACTTGGAGTCAGTATATATATTTACTTCTTTGTTCTGGGACCAGGATAGGGCCCAAGTGAGGGCAATTAGTTCAGCCTGTTGTGAAGTGGTCCCAAGAAGAAGGGGGCGGGTCTCTATAATTTCAGAGTGAGTTACAATAGCATAGGCTGCTCTCCGTGGGCCGGTGGGATGGGGTATAGAGCTGCCATCAATGAATAGGGTGATGGAGGCAGATGGTAAGGGTTGAGGGAGCAAGTCGGGGCGAGGGGACTGGGCTAATTTGAGGATTTCAGTACAGGAATGTAGGGGGCTGGCGTACGGAGGGCAAGGGAGGAGGGTAGCCGGGTTTAACGAGGAGCAGTGGGAGAGAGTGATGTTGGGGTTCTCAATAAACAGTAGGTGAAGCAGTTGGATACGGGAGGGCCTGAGGTGGGGCAGGGAGTGTTGACTGAGCAGCTCAGTCAACCTGTGTGGAGAAAAGACTTGGAGTGGGAGTTGTAGATTGATCTTAAGAGCTTCTGTGGTTAGGGTGACGGCGGCAGCTAGGGCTCTAAGACACGGCTGCCATTCTCGCTCAGTTGGGTCAAGTTGTCCAGACAGGTAGGCTATGGGCAGAAGGGACCCTCCCACTGGCTGGACCAGCACTCCCACAACTGTGTGCTGTTTTTCGTCCGTGTGTAACTGGAAGGGTAAGTTGGGATTAGGCAGGGCTAGGCTGGTGGAGGTGCAAAGGGCATTAAGCAGTGACTTGAACGCCCGGTTGACAGAACCTGGTGAGGAGAGTGGTCCCTCGGGGGCTTCTGCAGCAGCATGGTATAGGGATTTAGCTAGCAAAGCATAATTAGGTACCCAGTGGCGAAAAAACCCTACTAGTCCTAGGAAGGAGAGGATTTCTTTTGCTGACTCAGGGGCCTGGAGCGCCTTTAAGGCTTGTAGTTGGTCGATTGTAATGGACTGTCGCCCAGGTGTGAGCTGTATACCTAGGTAGGTGAGGCTATTGTGCTTTGGTTGGTGACAGCCGGTATCCCCTATCTCCTAGGAAATTGAGCAGGGCAGTGGTGGCCTGGATACACTCTTGGCAGGTGGGAGAGCAAATAAGAAGGTCATCTACGTACTGGAGGAGGTGAGAGGGCTTGAGGTTGCAGTGGAGTAGGTCGGTGGCGAGTGCCTGGCCGAATAGGTGCAGGCTATCTCGGAAGCCCTGTGGAAGGACTGTCCAGGCCAGTTGTTGGGACATGTTCTTTAGGGGATCATCCCAAGTGAAGGCAAAGATAAAGTAGAAGTTGGGGTGTAGAGGTATAGTGAAAAAGGCATCCTTTAGGTCTAAGACTGAGAAACAGGTGGTCCCTGGGGGAATGTTAGAGAGAATGGTGTATGGGTTGGGGACAACTGGATGTATGGGAATTACGGCTTCATTGACTAAGCGCAAGTCCTGGACCAGTCTATATTGTCCTGAGGGTTTTCGTACTGGGAGGATGGGGGTATTACATGGGGAGTTAATGGGAATTAGGAGGCCTTGACCTTTTAGTTTCTCTATGATGGGTCTGATACCCATACAGTGGGCTTTAGAGATGGGAAATTGAGGGCGGGAGAGAAAACGAGGTGAGGAGTCTTTAAGGCGGACCTGAACTGGCTGGTGGTGGGTAGCTACAGACGGGTTGTTAATGTCCCAGACCTGAGGGTGGACTCCAGGGAGTAGTTTGGATAGGGCTTTTTGGGGTTCGGTATCTGAGGTGAAGGCTAGGAGAAAGAGGTTGTGTGGGTTGGCGGTGGGGAAGGTTATGACGGCCTTTAGCTTTGAAAGGAGGTCTCGTCCTAGGAGGGGTACTGGGCAGGTGGGGATTATTAAAAAGGAGTGAGTAAATGGAGTGGAGTTATATGAGCACATGAGTGGTGGGGTTTGGTAGGGGATACTCGGGGTCCCGTCGATTCCCATGACCGAGACCTGGGAAGGGGTGAGACGGCCAGAATAGGAAGGGAGTGTGGAGTAGGTAGCCCCCGTGTCCAGCAAGAACGAGACACTTTTACCCGCTACCTGAAGTGTGACCCTTGGCTCGGCGAGGGTAACTGGAGTCGGAAAGCCAGGGCCCTGCTAGTCGTCTAGCAGCCCTAGTAGACTGTGGAATGGAGCTCCCTCGGAGGTCGGCTCCAGGCAAGCAGGCTCCTCCCTACCGAGGGTGACCGCCGGCTGCGTAACGCCAGTGTGTCTGTTTTGAGGAACCGGCACCCTGGGGAAGCTGGGGCAGTCTGACTTCCAGTGTCCTGGGAGCTGACAGATAGGGCAAGGCTTAGTTGGTGGCCATGGTTGTGGACAGGCTCGGGACCAGTGTCCTTCCTTTCCACATTTGAAACATGCTCCCGGAGGGACATGGGTTTCGACCTTGGGCTTCTGGTTCCCTGCCGGCCTTAGAGCCGCCACTAGGGCTTGGGTCTGGAGGGCAGCCTTCTGCTTCATGCGAGTTTGGCAGGCAGCCTCAGCCGCATCTTCCCTGGCATTGAATACTTTAAAGGCCATTTTTACCAGGTCTTGGATGGGAGTCTCCGGCCCCTCTTCTGCTTTCTTTAGTTTCTTATGTCGGGTGCTGATTGGGAGATAAAATGGGAGGCTAATGCAGTGGCCCCGTTTTGGGAGGCTGGATCTAGCCGAATATACCGGACTAGGGCTTCTTGTAAGCAGGCGAGAAAGAGGGCGGGATTCTCATAAAGAGGGTAGTTGGGTGATTTCTCTTAGTTTATCATAGTTTACAAATTTGTTAGATACAGTATCCATTCCCCTGAGGAGGTATCTAATCATGCGGTCTCTCTTGGGTATATCAGACCCTCGACTAGCTTGATAGTCCCATTGGGGGTCTTCACCTGGGATTACTTTGGGGCCTCAGGGGATCTGGTTATCTATAGCATGATCTTTATCTGCTTGGTTTCTGGCTGCAGCGAGGATGCCCTCGTGCTCCTCTACTGTGAGGGTGGAGGAACAGACAACGCGAATATCATGCCAAGTGAGGCTGTATGCTTGAGTGAGGTATTGAAATTCCTTAATATATGTGGACGGGTCAGCTGAGAAGGATCCTAAACGTTTCTCAATTTGGGACAGGTCTTGGAGTGAGAAAGGAACATGGACCCTGACTAAACCTTCAGTGCCTGCTACTTCTCGGAGTGGGGCCAGGATAGCTGGTTGGTGAGAGTGGGTGTGGGCCACCACCGGAGAGGCAAGAGGAAGTGTGGCCTCTGAGGGAGGGGGCCCAGAGGGAGTAGAGGAAGAGCGAGGCATGGCCTCTGAGGTAGAAGGTGCAGAGGGAGTGGGGGGAGAGCGTGCTGTTGATGGCGACTGGTTGCCGAGGTTGGCAGGAGGGGACAGATATTCAGGCAGATCCTCCGGTGAGGAGTAGGGAGGGGGAGAGGTAGTGGAGGAAGATTTATGAGGGGTACGAGCTAAGAGGATTTGGTAGGTGGAGCAGGAAGAACATAGGTCGGAGTGGGTACGGAGGTCCCAAAAAGCCTGAACGTAAGGAATTTCATTGTCCTTGCCCATGCGGCGACAAAAATCGTCGAGATCTCGGAGGGTGTTGAAATCGAAAGTGCCAGTCGGGGGCCAATGTGACTGGTTACTGAGTTTGTATTGGGGCCAAGCCACCTGGGACAGGAAGACAAGCTTTTTCTTTCTGAGGGTTTGGGAGTATCCTAATTTGGTAAAATTTCGCAGCAAGCACCCAAGGGGGGTGCTGGTTGGTATTTTGGACTCCGAATTTCCCATGGCAGGCGCAGCTACAGACCCTCCGGCACGGTTGGGCAGATGCAAAGAAAAGGCGTCCCAATTCATTGCAAATTCCCCAGAGTACAGTTAAGTACGATTAGGGAAGTGGTCAGAGGGGCATCCCCCGTCTGGCAGCTACCCCTCGGAAGGCTCCTGGAGCCAGACGGAGGACTTCCTCTGCTCGGCCAAGACTAGGCGAGGAGTCCGTGCGGAACGCCGGAGGGGGGCAACTGCACCGTGCCATAGGAGGAGAAGGGAAGTGGGGGGTAAAGCAAGAAAAAACCTGGCTTACCTTAATCAGAGCGTGGAGGTGGCAGGGCCAGTGTTGGGTAGGTCGGGGGAGGGGGCCGTGGCCGGGCCAAAGGCCCCAGCTCCCGGGTTTCGGCACCATTTGTCCGACCTACTCTCTGCGGGAGGACTGAGCTCGTTCAGAAAAAACCAGACTGCAGGTTAGAAGAAAGTCTTAAGTTCAGGCTTTACTGAGGAAAGAGCCTCCAGGCAGACCAGCCGGGAAGAGGAAAATGGCCGCGCCACTCAGAGGAGCAGGGTTCTTTTACAGGGGGCTGAAGGGCTGAGGGAGTGGGGAAACTGAGAGAGCCGAGGTGGCGGGCAATGGTTGGTCAGTTTGAACCGCTGGGCGGCGGGAAGTCGGGCAGCGGGAAGCCGGGCGGCGGGAAGCTGGGGAGTGCTGATGAGGCAGAAGCCAGGCGGCGGGAAGCTGGGCGGCGGGAAGCTGGGGAGTGCTGATGAGGCACGATGATTAGTCAGCCGGTTGCCAGGCGGGAGGTGGCTGCGGCCGGGCGGGAAGGCTAGAGCGGTATGTAGAGTGAGAGATAAGGGAGCCTCTTTGTGGGGGAGGGAAAGAGAGCTTTCATGGTAGGGGCAGAGTTTTCCAAACAGTAGAGACGGGGTTTCACCATATTGACCAGGATTGTCTCGATCTCTTGACCTTGTGATCCACCCGCCTCGGCCTCCCAAAGTGCTGGGATGACAGGCGTGAGCCACCGCGCCTGGACCTCATCTGAGACCTTTTATGTCTTGTCTTCATTGTCCATCCTTCTGTCAGCCTTCTGATCACAAGTTTTTAACAATTCTCTGCAGTGGTTCAAATTTTTCCTAATCTTGCTGTCTTCTAAGCTTTCCCAACTCTCCTGAACTTTGTCTTTTACCGTCTTCTAAACCTGCTTCTACATTTTTAGCTCTCTTTTTTACAGCCTGGCAATGTGGTAAAAGAAGGAAGGTCCACTTTCAGGGGGAAAATCCGAGAAGGCTTCAGATATTTGCATGAAAAGAAGCTGAGTGCTGGTTGCCAAGACAATGGGGAAAGGCCTTGAAGGCATTTCATAGCTCTACTTCACAGCACTAATCTTCTGTATGATCAGAAAGAAAAGGGGTTTGGCCGGGCGCGGTGGCTCAAGCCTGTAATCCCAGCACTTCGGGAGGCCCAGGTGGGTGGATCACGAGGTCAAGAGATCGAGACCATCCTGGTCAACATGGTGAAATCCCGTCTCTACTAAAAATACAAAAATTAGCTGGGCATGGTGGCGCGTGCCTGTAATCACAGCTACTCAGGAGGCTGAGGCAGGAGAATTGCCTGAACCCAGGAGGTGGAGGTTGCAGTGAGCTGAGATCGCACCATTGCACTCCAGCCTGGGAAACGAGAGCGAAACTGTCTCAACAAAAAAAGAAAGAAAAGGGGTTGAATTGGCTCGTGTTTCTGCAGGCTGTAAAGGAAGCATAGTGGCTTCTGCTTCAGGGAGGTCTCAGGAAGCCTCCCAATCATAATCTTGTTCCTACGTCTCCCATATGAAACATCTCCTTGCCTCTCCCAGAAGACAAAGGGGCAAGAAGATGTTTCATATGGGAGGATTAGGAACAAGACTGAAGGAGAAGAGGAGCCAGCCCGTGTTATACAACCAGATCTCATGAGAACTCACTATCATGAGCATAGCATCAGGAAGACGATGCATAAGCATTGGTGAAGAATCCATCCCCCAGACACGCCCCCACCCCTACCTCCCACTGTTTCCAGGCAGAAGCCTGCTACAGAGGCAGAGCCTCTTGGAAAACCTCTATTAGGGCAGTTCAGAGGGAAAAATGGGCTTGGAGCCCCCACACAGGTGGCCACCACCCTCCAGAGCCCAGATTCATAGACCCACCCACCAAGAGCTTGCACCCTGAGTGTGGAAAAGCTACAGGCACTCAACACCAGCTCAGTCCATGAGAGCAGCCGTGGGGCTAAAACCTGCAAAGCCACAGGCGTGCTGCCCTAGTAGAGGTTTTCCATGAAGCTGTGCCTCTGCAGCTGGCTACTCCCCACTCCCACTACACCCCATCCTCCCACCACCCTACACCTCCCACTTTACCCACCCCTTTTTCCTTCCACTCCCACCCCCAACCCGTCCATGATTAAATCACTCCCATCTTTCTGCTGTTCTCTAATCCCTCCAAACCCTCCCAGTTTTTATTTGCTACCCACTTCTAAACCTGCTTCTACTTTTTTAGGTATCTCTACAGCAGATTGGCTGTGTATCGATAACACAAAACCCCATTTGAAAAGGAAAATCTGAGAAGACTTCAGAAACTGGCCTATAAAGAAGCCCTGTGCTAACAGTCAAGACAAACAGAAAGAGGCCTTGAAGACATTTCACAGCTCCACTCTGCAGTTGTAATTTTCAGTATTATTGTAAATGAGAGAGGTTTAGTTGATTCACCTTTCTGTAGGCTGTGAAGGAAGCATAGTATCTTCTGTTTCTGGGAGGAGTCAGGGAGCCTCCTAACGACACCAGAAGGCCAAGGGACAATGAGATGTCTCCTACGGCAAGAGTAGGAACAAGACAGAGTGAGGAAAGAGGTTCCACAGCCTTTTAAACAATCAGATCTCCTGAGAACTCACTCACTCTCAGGAGGACAGCATCAAGGGGATGGTGCTTTATCATTCGTGAAGAATCTACCCATACCCTTTTACGGCAAAATCTTTTTCCACCTAGGCCCCACCTCCAACATTAGGAAGTGTAATTCCACGAGTTTTGGTAGGGACACAGAGACAAACCGTATTATTCTGCCCCTGGCCCCATGAACCTCATGAAGGCAAAACACATTCATGCCTTACCAGCAGTCTCCCAAAGTCTTAACTCATTTCAGCATTAACTCAAAGCTATAAAGTCCAAAGTCTCATCTGAGTCAGGGCTACAGTCTTTTTCGCCTATGACTCTTTGAAATAAAAAGCAAGGTCCCTGCTTCTAAGGTGCAGTGATGGTACAGGCACTGTGTAAGCTTTCCGTACCCAACAGGAAGACATCTTCCAGAAAGCATGGTTTCCTTCTCCGACCTCCTCGGCCTGCCCTTCACTTGTCCGTGTCTCTGTCGGCATTTTTGGCACAACCATTTTCCCATCTCCAAGATGGTCCAAACATTTTATCATCTGTCTGTCTTCTTTTGAGCCCTCCAAACTCTTCCAACCTGTGCCCATTCCCTAATTCCAAAGCTGCTTCCACATTTTCAGGTATCTTTGTAGCAAAGCTTTCATCTTCATCTGCCTTTCTCTGTATGATTTATTTTGAAAAAGAGGATTAATTGGCTCATGGATCTACAAGGTGGACAGGAAACACAGTGGCTTCTGCCTCTGGGAGGCCTTAGAAATCTTTCAATCATCTTGGCAGGCAAAAAAAGAGTGAGTGGTCTCACATGGCAAGAGGAAAACTCGGAGAGTGGAGCGGATGACACAGTTTTCAATGACCAGATCTCAGGTGAAGTCACTCATAATGATGAGGACAGTAGCAAGGGGACGGTGCTAAATCACTCAAGAAATTTGCCTTCACGATTCAATCACCTGACAGCTGGTTCTGCCTTCACCATTAGGAAGTATAACTCGACATGGGATTTGGTGGGATGCATACTCGAATTGCATCATCAGTCTTTGAGTATAAAGACATCCACAGCAGGCTTTATCCCACCAGCTTCTTCGAGACTCTTCATAGGGTTTGAGGTGTACAACATACACACTAAAATACTCATACTTCAAAAAGCAGTAAGGTAAGTGGTATTATCATTCTTGGAGAGTAACAGTGGTAGTGTAGGCATTTACAGCGTGATTTAGTTAATGTTTGCTGCTGTTTCTATTCTATCACCATATTAACTGTTTCCTACACAACTCTGTGTTCAGCTGGGTTTCAGCTGAGCACAAAACCACGCTTGTACTACCACCGACAGCTGGCGCTGGCTCACTGACAGTGTTATTATTCTGCGGTATAAAGTATCCTTGAACTGGAGAAAGTCCACAGTCAAATATCTGGTCATTCAACACTATCAATTCCTGGTTGACTTTTTGAAAAAATAGTATCTTTTGTTGAAAGAAATGCTGCATCTGTGACTTCAAGTCTCTCACGTGAGTTGGAGGGAAGTGATGAATTTCAGCCAAAGTGGCCAAAGAAATCCTGTTCCTGTGATCCTGACATCCTCGGCCTCTGCATGTCTGTCTTCCCTTCTGCCACATGTTGCCTGCTCTCCGTGACTTTGGTAAGAGCTTCCTTATGGATGTGGATGATGTCCAGGATGTTGGCCAGGTGTCCCTGAGAGAGCACGAATAGGTCCATGACTGGTCCCAGGGTCCTGCCTGGGATGATGAGCAAAGATCTCACTGATGGTGTTGAAGGCACCTCTGGTTAAGTGGATGGCCTGCTCCAGCTTCAAGGCCTGGCTGAGGCTGAAGAACTGGTCACCTGCTGATTCTTCTTAAAGTCTGTCACCATCATCTGCTTCCATGTCGACTCACTGGCTGTGATGTTGATCTGAGTGTCCTGCTGTCCATCAGGCTGTCAATCTTGCTCTCCCACTCCTAAAGGCTGAGAGCCACCCTGCGGGTGGGCTTGGGGTCAAGAAGAAGATGGCACTCACCATCTCATTTTTCTGTCTTCCTCTTGCCCTGTCTCCAGACTGTCTCTTCAGTGCTGGTGGGGCATGTCAAGAAGTGAAGGAAGGTGTGGCACTGTGCCCATGCCCAGAAGCTGGCTGTGTGGTTCATCCACCTGATTGGGCCCTTCTGCTCTTGAACATAAAGTTCTCCTCAAGATGGCCTGTTGTCTGCCTCTTGGCACCCAAAAAGCCCACAATGCTGTATGAGCCCTGATGCATGGACTGGAGCCCCAAAGGCAGCGCACACCCTGCTCCTGAGCCTGCTGCTCACGTCCTCTGTGTGGCTCCATTTGCATCATAGTTGTTGCACTGAGGCCCGTGCATGCCAGGCAAGGCCAAGCTGGATCAAAGAGCAACCAACCACCTCTGCAAGGGTGTGCCAGGAGCAGGTGGACCAGCCACCAACCTTACTCACTGCCAGTCAGGGTAAATCAGTTATGCCCTGGAGGTAGGGCCCCAGTGCCATCTGCTTTTCCTCAGGCCTTCTCTCCATTACTCATCAGGTGGTGGCCACTCAGGCTGTGGGAACCTGGCCTCCCTGCTTCCCTGAGTGGGTGAGGTTGGTGACTGGTCCACCTGCTCCAAACACACCCTTGCAGAGGTGGCTGGTTGCTCTTTGAGTCAGCTTTGGCATGCACAGGTTCCAGGTACTGACATGCTGCTCTGAGCTTGTCCTGTCTTGGGTCAAATTTTAAGTCTAGCCAGGGCCACCGAAGGCTGAGTCCCCTGGGTTGTATTCCTGGCTGTTGCTGGGACGCCATGGTGCCCCTCCCCTCCAGGGCTCAGGATGAGGCCCAACTGGGCCAGGATCCTTTAGGTAAGGGACATGTGTCCCAGGAGGGGGCCTCTGTCCCACTGGTTGGGTGAGAGGATGTATGGCATGCTGCTGGCTGTTAGGGTTGTTAGGATGCCGTGTTCTTTCCTTCAGGGACCTCAAAGTAACCATCTTCCCCTTTCAGAGTAACTTCCCAAGGCCCAGCTGGCTGCATGCCGCCCTGGCTTCTTCCATGTGGTGCTGGTCACTACCCACCCAGGGTGGTCAGATGCAGGCATCATGCCGGGGATTTGTCTCTGGACATTCATCTTGGTCATCATGGCATTGAACTGGGCCTGGTGACAGGGCCCTGATGGCGTTTTCCTGGGTGGTCCTGGGGGTGTCCAGAGGAGATACAGAATGGACTTGCTGCAAGGATGAATGAGATAACTGTCAGCACAGAATAGGCATCTGGTGAGCGTTCAGGGATCACCCTCAGTAGCTGCCCAGAGGCCAAAACCACCCACCTGATAGTGACTGCCCCCAAGCCAGGAGGAAGAAAAGAGCAGGTCCCACTCACCTGAGCCTAATCAGTCAGCTGTGCTGAAATGTGCCTCTTGCCTAGAAAACAGTTCTGTGTTCAGAACCAGTCACAGACACTGCTGTGTGTCTCTCACTGCTCCATGACACAGGCTATGGCAGCTCAGCAACGGCAACATCACAGGGTGACACAACCCATCAAAGTGGGAACCTGCCTGAATCAACAGGGCTGAGTCAGTGTCCTCTATCCCCTGAACTGATAGGTGTGCATGTAATGTGTTTCTCTCTCTCTCTCTGTGTGTGTGTGTGTCTCTCTCTCTCCGTGTGTGTGTGTGTGTGTGTGTGTGTGTGTCTTGCTTCTCTGGTCAGGCCTCGCTACTCCACTCATGGGTGCACTCAAGTCCTCATTACTGTCACTATCAGTCCCTGGGTCAGCATTACAGCCTCCACAGGTGTTCCCCAATCTCAGCCTTGTCCACCAAGGGTGGTCCTTGCAATACAGACAGAGGAGGGCACCAGGCAGAGCAGAGAGGGCTGGCATCCTCTCTAGGTAGAACCCAGGTCGTGTGTAAAGTTCTAGTGCTGGATTCAACACATCTTCTCATGTTCTCTTTCCAGCAACCCTCTAGGGTGCCTGACTCCCCTTCCCTACAGATGGAGGCAAGGAGGCTCCACAGACAAATCCCCTGCCTGAGGTCACACAGTGGCCAACTGATCAGGTGCCTCTGAGCAGGTCCCCACTGATGGGGCCCCTAATGATGACTCCTCCATTGACTAGACCCCCTGACTGAGTCCCCATTGACCATGTCTCCCTAACTAGGCCCTCACTTAATAGGTCTCAAGGACCAGACCCCAGTGACCAATTTCCCACTGACCTGGTCCCCACTGACCAGGTTCCCACCGACAAGACCACAATTTACCAGGTTGCCACTCTCCTGACCCCAACTGAACAATTCTCTGTGGATCAGTCCCCAGCTGACTGGACCCTCTCTGACCAGGCTCCAAGCCGCTATGGTCCCACACTGACCAGGCCCCTAGTATATGGTATAGACCCCACCAACCAGGTTTTCAGTGTTTATGTTCCAACCAATCAGGGACCACTAATAAGGCTACCACTGACCACATACCCACTGACCAGGCTTCCAGTGATTAGGTCACCAGGTCCCCACGACGAGGCCTTCACCACTAACCAGGTCCCTGCTGATCAGGTCCCAACTATGTCCTGAGGACCAGGTCAACACTGACCAACACTGACCATGGTCCCCTGACCAGGCCCCTGAGAAGCAGTGCTCACAGTCTCATCCCCCTCAGCCCACAGACCCTTCCTCCTTGCCCAGAGGTCAGGCCCTGGGGGTTATCTTGGCATAAGGCCTCTCCTCCAAGACACAGGGAGGGACAGATGGCCTCAGGCTGCTTCACTCTCATCCCCCAAGTCCCTCTGGGCCCATCTCAAAGGAGACAGTGAGGTGGCCTGGCACTGCCTGGACATGCAATCTCTCCTATTCCTGAGTCTCAGAGTGAAAGGAATGAGGGACATTTGGCAGATCAGACACCCTGTGCTGCTGGGTCTCCGAGGGGCCTTCCCACAGAGCACTGATCTAGAGACACAGCACAGAGGCTGCAGGAAGACTAATCTGGAACCTTCTAGGCTGAGCCAGGGTACATATAAGGACTGTTCCCAGACAGCCAGAAGGCCCTTTGCCAGTTTCTTGGTACCTCAGTGGATGCAGCCGTGGTTCTTCTGTTGGGGACAAAGGGCACACGCTGGGGAGGGCTCGCCTGGGCTTCCTTGTTGGAGCCACCTCTGCTTCTAAGAAAATCACTCATGCCAGGGCTGGGGCAGAGAAAATACAAAATTAGCTGGGAACATCTTGTGCCAGAAAGTAAAAACGTGCTGACAGAGTAACAGGGACAAATTAAAAAGTCATAAAGTCAGCTCGAAATGTCTACCACTGGGCTAATCCTGGGCAATTGGAGGACCAAAATCATAAGCTTTCTCTCTTCCTTATTCATTGGTTCTGTTTCTCCCTTGAGAACAAAGGAGTGAATAAGGATATAGTCATCTGGCAACCATCACAGTAATAATTGTTCAAATACAAGTCATTAATGAAATGCCAAATCTAGTGGGTTCTGAGGAGTAACCAGATATTTACAGAGCCTCAAAGTATCTTCACACAAAACACTGTTGAACTACAGAAAGGAAATCATAACATTAGCATGGGCAAACGGGGCAGGTCCTCCTTTATTACTAGTAATCAAAACTGTCAAATGCAAAGAAGCCTTCGGTGGCCTTTACGAAAGTATCAATGGTGATTTGCTTGCTTGGCTGTTTAAACAGCTGACATTTGGGCAATTTGAGTATGTCAAACTCAATAACGCTGGTTTTCATTTGCAAGATCCACTTAAACTAAGGGTAAAAAAATCATTTCAAATACCATATGAGGCTGGGCGCGGTGGCTCACGCCTGTAATCCCAGCACTTTGGGAGTCCAAGGCGGGTGGATCACGAGGTCAAGAGATCGAGACCATCCTGGTCAACAAGGTGAAACCCCGTCTCTACTAAAAATACAAAAATTAGCTGGGCATGGTGGTGCGTGCCTGTAATCCCAGCTACTCAGGAGGCTGAGGCAGGAGAATTGCTTGAACCCAGAAGGCAGAGGTTGCGGTGAGCCGAGATCGCGCCATTGCACTACAGTCTGGGTAACAAGAGTGAAACTCCGTCTCAGAAAAATAAAAATAAACAAATAAAAATAAAAAAGCATATTAATCTTCATTATACACGATTTGAAAATATTCTACTTTAGTAAAGATTGTGATGTTATATATTTTATGAGAAACAATTAAAATGTCATGTAAAAATCCCATTAATAAAGTTTTTGACCTTTTTAAATTGTATGCTTTTTCCTTAAGATTTTATGGTTTAGATAGTCTCTTCATTAGATGTGGCTTATCAGTGGATTTTAGAGAAGAAAGTAGACAGGAGCAAGACTGCAATACAGCAACAGCTGGAAAGAAAAAGAAAGAATGATGTTCTTTACCTAAGGAATTTCAGTTAATTAAGTTTGAGTTCAAAAACTAAAGAGCTGAGAACTTTATCAGAGTTAATAAGAATGAGAAATATGTATATACAATTATAATACAAAATTACTATTAAATAATTTACACATGGAATTAATTATAATTGTGATTAAATTGAGCATTTTCATCTTCACTTATGTACTCAACAGCCATGTGCTAAGGTACCAGAACCAGCACTGGAATTACAAGATGAAGATGGTAGGTCATCGTACGCTATAACCAAAAAACAGACAGGCAGGCAATGTCCGTATAGAGTCATAGACCCTGTGACAGGTATACAGCAGGACACTACTGGAACACACAGAAGGGACATCTATCCGTTTTGTGTCAATATTTAGGCTTTCTGGTGGAAGCGATATATAGGCTGATGCCTGAAGCACAAGGGAAACCTTGCCAGGCAGAGGGAAGAAGCGAAGGCAAAGAGCCTGAGGTGAGGAACAGCTCTGTGGAGCTTTACTCCATCTAGTTTGGTGCGGGAGCAAAGGGCAGAGTGTGGTACGTGGCAACAGACAAGGTTGAGTAACTTGACAAGAATCACATTGACCTGGGTGGCTTATTCCATGGTGAAAAATTTGGAATCTTTCCTGAGAACAAATGCAATCCAATGACAACGTAAATAACAGGAGATTTAAAATGTCACCTGTCAAGTGACTGCTTATGAATGGTTATTGCTTAGCTATTTTTTTTTTTGAGACAGAGTTTCGTTCTTGTTACCCAGGCTGGAGTGCAGTAGCGAGATCTTGGCTCACTGCAACCTCCGCCTCCTGGGTTCAGGCAATTCTCCTGCCTCAGCCTCCTGAGTAGCTGGGATTACAGGCACGCGCCACCGTGCCCAGCTAATTTTTTGTATTTTTAGTAGAGACAGGGTTTCACCATGTTGACCAGGATGGTCTCAATCTCTTGGCCTCGTGATCCACCCGCCTCGGCCTCCCAAAGTGCTGGGATTACAGGCTTGAGCCACCGCGCCCGGCCAGCTGACTATTTCTAAATGAGTCTTCAGTCTGTTGGCCTTTAATCTCTACCGAAGCCCCGAGAAGCCGATGATGCCTTTGTTTTCTGAGAATCACTTCAGTGTACTGGCTGCAGTTTCATGAGGATGGCAAAGGTGAAGAAAGCGGAGAGCCAGTAAAAACTAGATGCTTAGACTTATCGGAAGCTTTAAAGCTGTGAAACACGATGAATTAATGGTGCATAAGTATACTTTTCACTGTGAAAGTTGTTTTCACATCTTTCATCAGATGGGTGTAAGAAAAAAACACTTAACATCGTATCTACTAACTCCAAAATGAAAAAAATGCCATTTGCTATTTACGCTTTATTTCTAAAATAAACTTAATAAATTTTGGCAACATACTTTTCTTTGTTCTTCTAATTATTTGTTCTTCACAATCCAGCTTCACCTAAAATTAAGTAAGAATAATAATGTTTAAGTTAAAAGCCATTATGAGAATAACATATCACTTACAAAATGTGGTCTTTAGTATTTTTACTGACTAGACATAACTTGAAGTTTGCTTAAATAGAAAAATAATCACATAAATAAAGTAAAATTTCTATTTAAGTTTAGACAATAGAGGATGTATCTGTGTAATGCTGTTTAGATTTATCTGACAAAAATACATTTCATATTGGTATGTTGCATATACATAATTTTAGAAATATGCTGTTTTATTAGTACAAAGATTAAACAAATAAAGCCACATTTTGCAATGAATGCATTGCTTTGAAATTCTTGGCAAAACTCTGCTAAGTTTATAAAAGTTTAATCTATTTTTTACTTGTTTTTTTGAGACACAGTTTCGCTCTTGTTACCCAGGCTGGAGTGCAATGGCACGATCTTGGCTCACCGCAACCTCCACCTCCTGGGTTCAGGCAATTCTCCTGCCTCAGCCTCCTGAGTAGCTGGGATTACGCACCACCATGCCCAGCTAATTTTTTGTATTTTTAGTAGAGACAGGGTTTCACCGTGTTGAGCAGGATGGTCTCGATCTCTTGACCTCGTGATCCACCCGCCTTGGCCTCCCAAAGTGCTTGGATCACAGGCTTGAGCCACTGCGCCTGGCCCTATTTTTTACTTCAATAAATTGTTTCTTAAAAAAATTTGTATTCTCTACTTAAACTTTTTGTATAGTAAATTTTTCTTTTTTTTTCTACGTTGCATTCTAAATTAAGGTGGTACCTGTGTAGGTTTCTTCCAAAGGCATCTTGAAGGATGCCGAGGTTTGAAGTACAATCGAACCCATCACAAACGTAGTGAGGGTAGGACCCAATAAGTAGATTTTAGTCCTGGCCCACTCTGTCCCTCCCCATTCTTATTTCCCTGTGTCTATTGTTCCCATGTTATGACAATGTGAACCCAATGTGTAGCTCCCACATATGAGTGAAAACGTGAGATATTTGGTTTGTGTTTCTGCATTAGTTTGCTTAGGATGGTGGATTCCAGCTATATCCATGTTGCTGCAAAGGACACGATTTTGTTCTTTTTATGGTTGCACTGTATTCCATAGTATATATGCCATTTTCCAATCTACCTTGGATTTTTAATCTATGTTGGATGCACCTGGGTTTACTCCATGTCTTTGCTATTGTGAACAGTGCTGCAATGAACCTGCACGTGCCTGCTTCCTTTTCTTACAATGAATTATTTTCCTTTAGGTATACACCTAGTATAGTAATGGGGTTACTGCATCCAATGGTCATTCTTAGTTCTTTTTTTTTTTTGTCTTTATTCAAATTTAATGGAAACAGGGGTCACTATACATTGCAAGATAAAGAAAAATAAAATTAAAAAAAATTCTTTTCTTTTCTTTTTTAATATAAAACAATATGACAATACCAGACTATGGAACTCGACAGTTTACTTCCTATGGGTTACTGCAGGTATCAATTTTCCTTGGCTGTGCTATTCACAACTTTGTTAAGTCCAAAAATATGAAACCAAAGTGGTCGGAAACGTAAGAGTTAGCACTTTCACTACATGGCACACATCGAAGGGCATCAATTCAAGAGCAAAAATGGTTGAACTCACCATACCTACCTATGTGGTCATTCCAGCCTCAGAGCCGTCCACGTTACTGAGCTCCCTGTAGGAAAGGCCAGGCCTGAAAGCCAAGGCGTTTTGGATATTCTACTGTGGGCCATTAGTAAAAGGGGATTTTCAAAAGAGAAATTTTTTTTTTTTTCAGTCGAACAGGAAGGCCTGGCGCCAGGAGGCTTTACTGAGAGGAAGCACTCAGATTGAACAATTATAGACACACCATTGGGGAGTTAAAAATGTACAGCAGTGACATGTTCTACTCCAATCACTTGTGCCACGGCTACCAAACGTGTACAAAAGACTCCTCGGGTAGTTCCAGCTGCGGTCGTGGCCAGTTAGGACCTTGAGTGGGACCTAGATCTAGACCGGGAGGGTGATCTGGAAGCAGACCCGGATCGAGACTTGGACCGAGATCGGGTTTTTGAAGCTGACTTTGATCTGGAGCGTGATTCTGATGGAAGGTTTGGCTTCGATTTGGAATTGGATCTCGACCTGGACCGGGTCTCCTGATTGGTGCCAGCATTCTCACTCTCCCCTCCGCCTTCCCTCTGGCTGGATTCAGACTTGACATGGTCCCGCTCCTTTGAAACAGAGCGGGATGGCGATCTGGACTGCGAGCGGTCAGTGTCTTCCTTTTTCTTCTTCTTGCTGCTGCCCGTCTTGCTGTCTCGCTTGCTGCGTCGCTTTCTGCTCCTCTCTTGCTGTGGCTGAGGCTGCGTCTGCGGCTCTCCTCCCTGCTTCTCTTCCTGCCCTTCCTCTTGTCCTGCTCTTGCTGTGGCTCCTACTCCCGCTCATGCCATGCTACCCCCTTTGCTCCTGCTCCGGCTCCGACTCTGGCGGAGGCTCTTCTGGCCCCTGCCCTACTCCTGGCTCCTGCCCCTGCTCAAACTCCCTCGCTTCTCCTCCTCCACTCTCCTCTCCTGACTCCTGCTCCGACTTTTGCTCTTACTTTTATGCCTGCTAGGACTCCGGCTCTTAGGCTTCCCAGCATTGTCATTGTTTTGGATCTTCTCTTCGGGTTGGTCTTTGCTTTTGCTTCGGCTCTTGCCGACGCTGCGACTGCGGCTGTGGCTCTTGTCCTTGCTGGGGCTCCTGCTTTTCTCCTTCTTGCTCCGGCTCCGACTCTGGCTTCGGCTCCGGCTCCGACTCTGGCTTCGGCTCTGGCTCCGACTCTGGCTTCGGCTCCGGCTCCGACTCTGGCTTCGGCTCTGGCTCCGACTCTGGCTTCGGCTCCGGCTCCGACTCTGGCTTCGGCTCCGGCTCTGACTCTGGCTTCGGCTCCGGCTCTTGCTCCGGGAGTGGGAGCCTGCCCTGGACCGGGATCTACTCTTAGAATGGCTGCTTTTGCTGCTTTCACTTCGGCTTCTGCTCTTACGGGAATGTCTGCTTCGAGAGCGAGATCTCGAATGGCTCCGGCTCCTGGAGTAGGACCGGTGTGGTCTGAAACCTGGCTTGTCTTCAACTAATCGGATTTTTCTGCCATTGACTTCAGTTCCATCCAACTTTTCCAAAGCTCTTTTCACATCAGAATAAGATACAAATTCAATCACTCCTTCCTTTTTGCGTCCCTTCTGAGCATCTGCATAAGTCCCTTCTCCTGCCTGACGCACATAATCCTTTAGGTCTTGCCAGCTGCACCGACTTGACAAATTCTCCACAATAAGCCTGTACTCTGTGCGAGTAGGAGGGCCATATTTATCTCGGCCACTTCTTCTATAACCATATCCACTGCGCCCAGAACCGTAACTGCCATCTCGCCGTGGGCCGCGGGCATG